CATCTCTGCTCCAGACGCCGGCCTGATAGCACCGATGTGGCGGCTCCCGACGTCCAGCGCGATAGGTTTACCAATGCAAGGGATGGGGCTCTGTAATGCGTGTGATGCGAAGAAACGCATCGGTAAGACGTTCAGCGACAATCTAGAGTCTCGACACAACACGCATGTTTCAGGGCTTGATAGAGATGAACAAAGGTCGGCACGTGCGGCTCATGAGACCTTATTCAGACCCGGATCCGGAGCGAAACCCAGAAACGTATGTCCTTTCTGATTTGTGATGGGTTCTGTCAGTACTCGGAGAGGAGGGGTTCGCTGTCTTACATCTGAACGCGAGGAGGGGAGAGGTAGGCCCTGCATAGAGGACGAACTGTCGAAATGCAACAAGACGAGCTAGCAAGCGCCCAGCCGATGGTGTCTGCGAGGATGGCTAGCATGGAAGCTATTGATGTGGGAGGTGTCGTCAAGCTGTTCATCCCATCATTCGGGCATGGCGTACCACCCACCGCAAACGAACCAGACTGATCAACTGGTTGGTGTTGGTTCTGGTGGTGTGGAACATGCCAGTTGGTGAACCGTCTGATCAATGTCTCCCCTGATCTAGAATATCTTCTTGTTCACGACACCACGCCAAGCCCACGATGGCGCCGGGATCCCTACCATGTTGGCGGCAGCCTATCGCCGAGGGGCTCTTCACTCGCAGCCGCCACCAACGGGTGCAACCGCTGGGTAAGGAAAAGACGTGGCGGGAGCATGGGATTCGTCGGCATCACCGCTCATGTGCTAGGTTCGATCCGAGGCTGGAGCGCGCATGTGTTTGTATGGGCGATGCAGTCTTCTAGCTGGTGAGAGAGAGAGTCTGCAAGCTACCTATCTAGGTACCTTTCTACCTACCTTACCTAGGTAAGGTACCTAAGGTAAGGTAGGTAGGTAAGTACCCTAAGGTACTCAGTAACGCCAAATGATTTGCACTGGTCCGTGTGGTATTCAAAGAGGCCCCTTTCTTCCTTCCTCCCTCTCTCTCACTCAGAAACATCATCGCCCACCGCATCTGGACGTGCCTCCCTGAGGTGCCTGCCTATCTTACCCAGGCAGCTAAGATACCTTGGTAGGTAAGGTAGGTAGGTAGGTATAGATGGCAAATCGCCCAGCATCAGGTCTAGGCCATATTCACTCTACCGGCCCTTGATGCGATTCCCTCGACTCGCCTAGACCTCGACACGCCGCTAGAATATTATTCAGAACCACATCTGGAAGGCGTCGCCATGCGTCGTCGCAGCGTTGGCAGTCGCATTCCATCGTTCTCTTCTTCCACACACCACCAGCAGTTCTCCCTGACAGACCAAAGAGGACTACATGTCTCGCATCTTTCCATGTGAGCCACCGTTTTGCCTGGTGGTTGGATGCTGCGTATCCAGTAAGGTCATTCTCGGCTAGGTGTCTATCCCAGATTTGCCATTCAGGCCCTCAACACCATCTTTTGGACCCTGGCCGCAAGTGGCTTGATCACCGGAGTGACCGCTCATCAAGCTCTGCTGCCCATGCCTTGGCAATATCCATGAGCCTCAATAAGATCCTTACTTTAACTTAAAAAGAGCCCATGACCCTCTCGTTGTCACAATTCATCTCGAGCACCAGCATCAGGCGCCACTATCAAGATTCACACCTCCGACTTGACGTCGCGATCCAACACTTTCATCACTATTTCTCCAGTATCATCGACTGCCACCAACACACATCTGCTCCAACAGTGTTGCTGAACTTCAGCAAAAGTGACTCGGCAAAGACGTTGCTTTTACCCAGAAGCCCAACATGAAAACCAGCTTTGTGCTCAAGGGTATCAGTGCCCTCTTGAGCATCACTGGCGTCGCCGCAGCTCCTGCTACGAACGGTAAAAACGACGATAAATCTTGCTCCTCTGGCCCAAAGCCCCGGGTGTCCGTCAAACAGGTCTGCTATTGAACTCTCCCTCACTCGACCTGAACACCGTGCCTAACGCATTCTAGGTCTCCAACTTTTGTGAGACGACACCCGGAGTCAAGTCGTACAGCGGATACGTCACGCTTCCACCTAGTACAAACTACCCCTTCGAGCAGAATATCTTCTTTTGGCTCTTTGAATCACGCAACCGGCCCAAGTCCGACCCCTTGACTGTCTGGATCAATGGCGGGCCCGGCTCCCCCTCGACCGATCAGGCTCTCGGTAGCAACGGCCCCTGCCGTGTGCAGCCCGACTCGAAGACAACGAAGCTCAACGCCGACTCATGGAATAACAAGGCTAATTTGCTGTACATCGACCAGCCGGTGCAGACGGGATTCAGTTACAACAACGTCACGCCCGGCCGCCTGGGTCTGATCGGTGGATTCGTGTATCCTGAAGGCACTTCGGTTCCTGATTATGAGACTGTTCTTTTCAATGGCAGTTTCTCGACCCAGGACCCAAGCCAGACGCTGAACACCACGCAGAGTATTGCGCGGGTTCTGTGGGACTTCATGCAGGTCTGGCAGGAAGAGAAAAAACTGAAAGACTTTGTCCGGCCCAGTATCAACCTCTGGTCACAATCATAGTACGTGCACGCCCCCTTTCCCCCCCTTATCTTGCGGTGGCCAAACCTGCTTCAATTACATCGCCAACGCACACAACTAACCAGTTCCTAGCGGTGGTCACTACGTGCCTGCCATTGCGACCTACTTTGAAGCGCAGTCCAAACTTGCGACGACCGGCAAGCTGCCGCCCAATCCACGCATTTGCTCTCGCGCCAAGTCTATCCGCATCGCCACCGTCGGCATTATTGCCCCTTTCATCGACATTGTCGGTCAATTTGCTGACCTAGAATTCGCCTTGAACAATACCTATGGCATCGAGATCTTTGATCCAGCTACCGTGGACGACCTGGTCGAGCAGGCCGAGGCTCCTGGTGGCTGCTTCGATCTGATCGATGACTGTCGCAACATCACCAACAGGCTCGATCCCGAAGGCTGGGGGAACGCTCCCGAAGTCTACCCAGTCTGCAATAATGCCTTCTTCTCGTGCTATCAACTGATCGAGAGTCGATATGAGGCCACAGGCGTGAGTTGCCATCTGCTTTCTCCCAACCACTTTCCCAAGAACGATGCCCAAGCTGACAACACTCCCCAGCGCGATTCCTTCGACATCACCCAGCCAGCAGCCGCCCAGTTCCCTCCTCCCTATGCTTTTGGATTCCTCAACCGCCAAAACACGCAGTCCCGCCTCGGCGTGCCCGTGAACTATACCGCATTCGCACCGAGCATCCAATACCCCTTCTTCGCCACGGGCGACTTTCTCCTGTCGTTCGCGCCTCACGTCGAGCGCCTCCTCGCCGCCGACATACCCGTCCACCTCATCCACGGTGACCGTGACTGGCGCGCAAACTGGATCGGCGGCGAGGCAGTAGCCCTCGCGCTCGCCCACCGCAACAGCGCCCGCTTTGCCGCCGCCGG